CTCAGCATGCATGAGGCTCTAGGATAATCTCTAGTTCTTTTTTTTTTTGGTTTTTTCGAGACAGGGTTTCTCTGTGGCTTTGGAGCCTGTCCTGGAACTAGCTCTGTAGACCAGGCTGGCCTTGAACTCACAGAGATCCGCCAGCCTCTGCCTCCCGAGTGCTGGGATTAAAGGCGTGCGCCATCACCGCCAGGCGACAATCTCTAGTTCTGCAAGAACCAATCACCCAACTGAGAAACTGATGTATTCAGAAGCTCATTTCACATCCTGCCGGAAAGGTACACAAAAATCAGGCAATCTCCTCACCCATTCGCTTTTCACAAGGGTTTATGTTGATGACATAGTCCCCTGACAGATGAAGGGAACGACTCATCTGGCAGTTTTATTCTCCTCTTTCATCTCATATTTGAGTTATAGGACTTACCAACATTGTTGGGAAGGAAACAAGAAATCAAAGGAAGGTAAACGAAACCTCTTTTTACTATGGAAAAACCTCACCAAAAGGAAATGTCTTAAGCATGCATATATACTTAATCCCGACATTTTGTTTATAAATCTACTCATTTTTGACTTATCAAAATTTATTCTTCTCTTCCAAAATTCTAGACAAACCCAATTACATCATAAAATATAATCATAGGAAAAGGTAAATGTTTCTGAGATGGAGTTGAGAAACTTAACCCAGACCTGGTTCAAACTCCTGGGCTCAAGTGATTCTCCTACCTTGGCATTTCTGTGTGCCACCACAATTATGGACAGTGAGTTCCTTAATAAAGGCATTTCCTTGTCATGGAATTTACTTTTCCCCAAATCTAGTCTGTAGGTATGGTAATCAATGTCACGGATGAGATTCAACTTTAGAAGCCATTAGTACTAGTGCCAGGACTCCCTGGGCTAATGAGACTGTAGATACAGCCTGGTATCTGATAAATGAGAAGGCACAAAATTGTCATCATCACAAGGCCCTTAGCAAGGGTAGTATTTAAACAGTCTGGCCATTTTCTTATCTGGTAACAAAGAGGGAACAAAATCAAGATAAACCAAATATCTAATCACTGACAAGTTCCTGGATGCAATAAAGTTTGTTTTATAATGACTAAATCTTAAGCTGGATTTTTATGCTCAACTATTCAGACCTGGTCTGTGGACTGTGGCGTGACTTGGCAAATGATGTGAAGCAAAAAAGTGATGCATTCAACTCCAAAATAAAAGAACTCCCGAAATTAAACTGTGCCCACATATATGACTTAGCTGCTTGCTTCTCCCGGAAAAGAATCAGCAGCAAGCATATGATCTCCTCAAACACAATTCTGAAGAAAGGCAAGAAGGCAGAACACTGCTTGAGTGTGAAAAGATCTAAAAAGAAAGACAAGCCAGGTATGAAGCCTCACACTGGGGAAGTAGGGTCTCCATGAGTCTAGGGCCAGTCTGGGTAGAATAGTGAAGTCCAAGCCAGCCTGGGCTACAGAGCAATAAAACTTTCTGAGGGGGGGAGGGGGGGAGGGGGGGAGGGAGGGGGGGAGGGAGGGAGGGAGGGAAACAGAAAAGAGCCAGGCAGTGGTGATGAATGCCTTTAATCCCAGCACTCAGGAGGCCGAAGTGAGCTCGTGAGTTAGCCTATAGACCAGGTTAGCCTGGTCTACAGAGTGAGTTCCAGGACAGGCACAACTACACAGAGAAACCCTGTCTCAAAAAACCAAAAAAATAAAATCAAGAAAATAAAGAAAAAGGAGAGGGGGGAAAAAGTCATCAAGTTTAATGACAGATGCCTATAATCTTGACACTTAGAGACAGAGACAGGAAGATAACAAATTCAATGCTACACTTAACTACATGAAACCCTATCTCAAACCTCTAGCCAAACAAACACATATTAAGATAGCAATAATAATAAACAAGGTAGTCTGGGGCAAAAATCCATTTTGTGTGTGTATATGTATATATATCTATATCTCTCTCTCTATCTCTCTCTCTCTATCTCTCTCTCTCTCTCTCTCTCTCTATATATATATATATATATATATATAATTAACTCCTTTCTCCCCTACTTTCTGATGAAAAATACACGTATCTGGGATTCCTACTTATTGTTCCAAGCCTTGTGAAAAGATGTGTTGAAAAGGGATATTCAAAATGAAACAGTCAATCCGGGTTTGGTAGCTCCTGCTTCAAACCTAGTACTCAGGAAAGCAGGATAGAACTGTCTCAAGTTCTAGCCCAGCGTGGGCTATACAGCGAGTTCCAGACCAGCCTACTTAACGAGACCTTGTCTGAAGTAAACAAAAATAACTAAATAAATAGGCAGACAGGAAGTAGGAGAAATTATGTTTGAGTTCAAAAAGCAGAGCCTTAATTGGAGCCTACCCTTTCCATCCTGGCTGCCCTATTCTGGAAAACAGTCTTGACCTTAAAAGAGTCTTGAATGGGTGATAACAGAGAACGCGTTGTAAAAGAAAAACAAACAAACAAAATTCCTTGAATGCTGGGAACCGAATCTGTGTCCTCTCTGGGGCATTACATGCTCTTGACCATGGAGCCATTTCTCTAGGCCCTCAACTCTCACCGTCCCTTACCCTTAATCACCAGATTTTGCAGTGCTTATCCTCGATCAATCAGCAGAGATGGCAAATTCTGAAATTATTTAAATGTACTGGGCATATAACTTTGTCTAGTGCTTCAAAAATTAAATACTTTAAGCACACTTAATTTTGTCAATTTTCTATGTATGTTTGTTATATCATGGGCTAAATAGACTTAGTTTAAGAAAGCTCTGTGATCACTAATAACATTAGATTCTTTAGTTGTTTTTTTCTTTCCTGTTTTGGCTTTTTATTCTCAAGTCAGGGCTTCTCTGTGTACCAGCCTGGGCTGTCCTGGAACTTACTCTATAAACCACGCTGACCTCGAACTCAAGAAATCCCCCTGCTTCTGCCTCCTGAGTGCTGGGATTAAAGGAGTGTACTACCATGGCCAGCAATCCTTTCGTTCTAATTCAAGTTTTCTCACCGGCTCCAAAGGTGTAGTCTATGACTGAAAGGTCATAGACTAGAAATTATGAACTTCACACTTGGTTTCTATCTCTGGGCCTCAGTTTCTTCATTATGCAATGAAGACTTAGCTTATCAGAAACTCCCTGTCATCTCATTTTAAAATGTGTTGTGCCGAAATTCTAGACGATTTTTTTTTTTTTTTGGTTTTTCGAGACAGGGTTTCTCTGTGGCTTTGGAGCCTGTCCTGTCTAGATGATTATTAAGCTATAACATTTTCTTTCCCCAAACTGTAAATTTACTTTTTAAAATCTCATTATAAACCAGGCAGTGGTGGTGCATGCCTTAAATCCCAGCACTCAGGAGGCAGAAGCAAGCGGATCTCTGTGAATTTGAGCCCAACCTGGTCTACAGAGCTAGTTCCAGGACAGCTAAGACTGTAACACAGAGAAACCCTGTCTCGAAAAAACAAAAACAAAACCTCATTATATATGTAAATGCATGAATTACACAGTAAAGATAGGTTGATTTAAGGATTGGGGGGAATATATGCAAAATATGGATAGATGTAACCAAACACACATAGCAAACTTGGACCAGAAACCAGAACTGGATTCCTTATTTCTAATCCATAGATGGATCATTTCCCTCTTCTCTTATCCACACTCTGCCAGTCCTGGGGGGGGGAAGGTGGTGTGTGTGTGTGTGTGTGTGTGTGTGTGTGTGTGTGAAGTTGAGGGGCTAGAGCCAAGGCTCCACGGTTAACAGCATGTACTGCTCTCCCAGCCGAGCCAAACCCCTTCCCAGCATCCACATACAGGCTGTTCACAACCAGCTGTAACTCCAGTTCCAGGGAGTCTGAGGTCTCTGGCCTCCATAGACACCTGCACTTTCATACACGTACCCACCCCTGACACACACACACACACACACTTGAAAATAAATCATTTTTAAAAGTTGAGGCCAAATTGAAAACCCATTTCAAACTGCTCAAATTAGATAAAACACTTAAACGCTTGCATGTCCAGAACATTGCCTTCCAATAAAATAATTTAGATGAACCCTCTGAAGAAATTATTTGTACAAATTAACCCATCCTACACTCGCTCTACTTCCCTCGCCAGGGATGCAAACCAGGTGGTATGTTTTAGGAAGGAATCTTCCAGAGTTTACATTTTGGGACAGCCTACAGAAGTAATGCAAGGTGTTCACAAAGGAAGGAGAAAAAAAACTGACTAGTTTCTAGGGTAACTAAGGGTATAGCTCACTTGGCAGAATGATTAGCATGCATGAGGCTCTGGTATCAATCCACAGTGCTGCAAAAAGAAAATTATAAACTGAATTGATTAAAATACAGTAAACTTAGTTGGACATAACAAATGTTTGTAATCCCAGAATTTGGGAAAGGCGGGGAGGGGGTGCCAGGAGTTCAAGGTCATCCTCACTGTGTAACCAGTTTGCTGAGAGAGACTAAGCTACAGGAGATCCTGCTTTCAAAGCAACAAGGGGGAGGCGGCGGGGACACTAATTTCCCAATGCTCTGGTACAACGTGGATTAGAACGGGGTTAAATATCGAGAAAGGGGAGGTTCGATAAGATCCACAGATCGATTTGGGGCTCCCTGAAATCGTGTGCCAGAAATGGAAGGGGTTAAACTTTGGAAGATGAATCTAAAAATCAAGAGTTTGGGGTTTAAGATTCTCGGTGTACAGATGGGGGCGGGGGTCACGAAGAGGTAAAGGAGAAGATCTGGAAGGAAGGAATCAGTAGAGTCCAAAGAGGAAAGGGGAAAAGAAGAAAGAAGGCGCAGGGAAACCGGTCTTAAGAAAAATCAGAGGGCAGGGGGTGAACTGGGAGGAGCTGGGGAAGAGCGCTGGTCAAAGGAAGATGGGGGAGGGGGTAGCTCACGGCTCAGCCCAGCACGAGGGACCAAGAGCAGCCGGCAGGAGAGCGAACCGGCATCTCCCAGCCGCCTGCGGGAAGTCCGCCCCTGCTCTCGGAAGAGCTCCTTACCTGTTGGTATGAAACCGGTGGAGCGGATCCGTGCGATGGCAGGAGGACAGCTGGCAGCCGGGTTCCTCGCTGGGGCAGGTGCCCACCCCACGAGGGGCTCCTAGGAGCGGGAAGGGTTCCTCTGGGGTTAGAAACTTCTCATAGGAAGTGGTGGCCGACGTCTCGTCGGACATGGTGGGAGATGGGCCGGCTCGTACTCCGGTGCTGGAGATGGGCTACTCAGATGCTCGCCCCTTCCCCCACGGTAACCTGTCCGCGGTGGCCACCGCCCCCGGGTGTGCCCACTGCAGCCACCCGAGGAGTGGGGGGCGCTGCACAAAGGTCGCTGGAGGCCGCAGGGACCCGCCGGCCACCCAGTCCGCTTCTCCGGAACCTCAGAAGCCGCTGCCGCTGCCGGGCCCAGCGAGTCACTGCAGCGCCGCCGCCCGGCCCGGCCGCCCCGCCCACTGCGCTCGCCGCCCGCTGCGGCTTTGGTCCGCCCCGCGGACTCCACCAGCTCCAGTGGCCCCAGCCGCTGCCCTTGCCCCCTGCCGGAGTGGAGGAGGAACTGAATGTTGGTGGTTGAAGGCCAGGGCGACCTGGCTGGCCTCCTGGATTCGGGGATGATTGAAGGGCCCATGCCTCAGCCAGCCTCTTCCTGGCGCTTCCCACTCGCATTCAAGAACAAAATGTTAGCCAAATAACAACTGTACTCCTTTGGACTAGGGACTTAGCCAAGGTCACACTGAGGGAGCGTGTGAAAAACGAGTCTTAGGTGCCCTTGAACACCAGTAGGCTGGACCACAGTAGGCTGGACCACTGTGTATGCTTCTATTTATACTGAGCCCCCGCAGTATGTGTGCCCGGTCAAAGCAATGAGCTAGCTGTAAGGGAAATGGGCCCTAGAGAGAAGGGAAAAAATGCCCGCCTCTCTTTTAAGTCACTTTAATCCAAAAAGAACCCTAATACAGCTGCTAGGCTACTCAGAGCTGCTGGACGGTAAGGTTCTTTTGTGTTCGGTGCTTTCTTTCTCCTGCGGACTCTGGAATGTCCTGCCAGTCTCCTCTGCTAATCCCTAAATCCCCAGCTCAAGTGCTATCTTTTCAGTGAAGCCTTCCCTACCTCTCAAAGGAGGAGACTTAATGTACTACTGCTGATAATGGCCCGCAACCCTGCTTCCGTTGATGTTATGCAGCTTAACTTGTTCGACCGAAATTGTTATGCCTTTCATGGCTGGCTCATGCCAAATCAACTTACTAGGTGGCACATGGGGGCTCCTTTCTCCTAGCACTTAACTTTTCCTGCATTCTAGCCAAGTGATTCCAAACATCCATCGGAGGCATGTTTTTGTTTTAATATCCAGCTTCTTAAATGCTCCCTTTAAAATGTATATACAAAAAATAAAAATAAAAAAGCCAGGCGGTGTTGGCACATGCCTTTAACCCCAGAACACAGGAGGCAGGGACAGGGAGGCAGAGACAGGCAGATCTGTTGGGAGTTCGAGGACAGGTCTACTAGAGGTAGTTCCAGGACAGGCTCCAAGGCTACAGAGAAACCCTGTCTCAAAAAAAAAAAAAAAAAACAAAAAAAAAAAAAAACACCAAAATGTATATACACATCCCTGGAAAAAAATCTGATTAATCCTGATTGTTATTCTTTCGGTCCCAGCCCTAGCCACTCCCACTCCTTTTAACCTCTAACCTCGCCCACCATCACTTTTTCCCTGTTTTCTCTCCCGGTGTACACAAGGGGCTTTGCCTCTCTCCTCCTCTCTCTCTGCCTCCCTCCCTCTCTCTCTCTCTCTCTCTCTCCCTCCCCCTTTCTCTTTTTTTTCTTTTTTAATAAATACCTATGCCTATCTTATGTGTTTATGTGTTTGTTACCCGCTGCCACCATCTGCGCAGCGTGCGCCCTCGCCCTGGGGACCGGCAACCGTCTCTTCTGGGCTAGCAGCTGCTTTTATGGCTCCATGGGTCTGCTCACATGTGCCTGCTGCATTGGGGGTTCTGCCACATGGCTTCCTGCTGCCGCTGGAAACCCCCCATATTTTTTTAAGAATAACACTGATTACAGGATCCCTAAAAATAAAATTGGTGGAAACTCAAGTCCTTAAATAAAATGACAGGGTATTTGTTTTTTTAATATTTATTAAGTATACAATATTCTGTCTACATATATGCCTGCAGGCCAGAAGAGGGCACCAGATCTCATTACAGATGGTTGTGAGCCACCATGTGGTTGCTGGGAATTGAACTCAGGACCTTTGGAAGAGCAGGCAATGCTCTTAACCGCTGAGCCATCTCGCCAGCCCCATGATAGGGTATTTGTATATTATCTGTAGAATAAAATGGCCAGCCAAAGAAACCTACTCCGGCCCTGAAATCGGGACCAGTGAAAGAAACACATCCTAGGTCTGAGACCCTAGCCAGTGAAAGAAATGCTTTAGCCCTGAACTCAGAAGCAAAGAAATACACCCTGACTCTGAAACCAGAGCCAAGGAAACACACTTTGGCCCTAGAATCGGAGCCAGTGAAAGAAATATGCCCTGGCCCCAAAACTAGAGCTAAAAGGCTAAAAAAGGCCAGTGAAAGAAACACAATTTGGTCGTGAACCCAGAGCCAAATATGCCCCTGACCAACTAGGCAGAAAACCAACCAATCCAGAAGCAGAAAACCAGCCAATCCCTGAGCAGAAAAACAATTTCTGAGTAGAAAACCAGACAATCCCTGAGCAGAAAACCAGCCAATCCCTAAACAGAAATACAATCCCTGAACCGAAAACCAGCCAATCCCTGAGCAGAAAAACAATCCCTGAACCGAAAACCAGCCAATCCCTGAGCAGAAAAACAATCCCTGAACCGAAAACCAGCCAATCCCTGAGCAGAAAAACAATCTCTGAGTAGAAAACCAGACAATCCCTGAGCAGAAAACCAGCCAATCCCTAAACAGAAATACAATCCCTGAACCGAAAACCAGCCAATCCCTGAGCAGAAAAACAATCCCTGAACCGAAAACCAGCCAATCCCTGAGCAGAAAAACAATCCCTGAACCGAAAACCAGCCAATCCCTGAGCAGAAAAACAATCTAGCCAATCTGAGCTCAAGGGACTGAAATCTAATTCCCACCCTGAAAATCTTCTCCAGTGAAAAACTCCTCCACTAAGAAACCCTATATAAATCCTGCATCTGGCCAGGCAGTGGTGGCCCAAACGTTTAATCCTAGCACTCGGGAGGCAGAGGCAGGTGGATCTCTGTGAGTTTGAGGCCAGCCAGATCTACAACAGCTAGTTCCAGGACAGGCTCCAAAGCCACAGAGAAACCCTGTCTCGAAATACCAAAGGGGAAAAAAAATCCTGTGTCTGTTAAGTTTGGTGTTGCTCTTTTTCCACCCTGGCAGAGGCAGTCACTCTCCTGCATTCCTTCCTCTTGAATGAGGTTTGAGTGAAGACTCCGGAGCAGAGGCAGAGCGGGGAAGGGCTTGTAACACCCAGCAGAATGGAGTTGTTACATGCTGGGGCACCAGCCAAACTGTTACATCTATGGTTCAGGAAGCCCTCTCCTATCTGAGCAGAGTTGTTACAAATTGAACAAACCTTTCCCCGGAGCCAGAATGTATGCATCCCTGACCAGTGTTATTTCCTGGTCCCCGCAGCCAGAATATGCTTCCATCCAAGCTGTAACACTCAGCATTCCCTGGTCCCTGACTACCGGTATACTTTTCCATCTGAGCTGTAGCACTTATTCCTTGGCTCTCGACTGCCAGAATCCCTTTCCATCTGAGCTGCAATGCTTACATAATCTACACACATTTCCCAAAAGACTTTAAATCATCTCTAGAATGTATAAATGATATGAAGTTATGGTAATTTGTTCAAAGGATAACCAAAATCTGCAAGTTTTAAACACGTGTGCATCACTATATGGTGGGAAGTGAACCGAGGACCTTGAGCATGCCTCACAACTGTTCAACCACAGAATTGCACCCTCCACCCTTTCGCCCCACTAATATTCCCCCCAATGTGATTACTTCAATCCAAGAAAGTGGATTTCAGAGATGTAGCTAGCCAGCCCTATGTTCTGGAGGGAGGTATTGACATGCCAGCTGAATGTGGCTGCTTTATTTAGATTGTAAGAAAATGTATTGCATTGAGAATGTAGCTTTCAAAATTATCATTCCTTAAGATCTAATTGAGTTGGCCAATTTAAAAACTGTACAAATGATGGTGTTCTGCATACAGTCCCCAGTGCTGCAATCCACAGAGGTCTGTCTAGGACTAGTGAGGTTGAATGAGTGACTGCATATGCAAAGGAAGTTGTGAAGCATTTTGAAAATAAGTGTTGGGCAAGTGGAAACCCCTTCGGCAGCATCCTGAGGCCTAGGAGCATGCTCTATCCAAAAACTAGTACGTTTACATTTCCCAGGAACGTTTTATTTCAGCAAATATCATGAGTCATATTAAAGTCCAAAAAATCTTGTACTCAGTTTGTAAGTTTACTTTCATAGTGGATTTATATAAGAAGCTGAGTGTACAGCTAGGCAGTTTTTGTTCTCAGTCCCTCCTGGGGACTGTAGATTTTTGCCTACACAAAAGAAGAAACTATTACTAACTCAGGGTGTAAGACAGGGAATATGACTCGTGCCAGCAATCTCTGCACTCAGGAGGCTGAGGCAGGAGGATTGGCAAAAATTTAAATCCAGCCTGGACTGCCCTGTAGGGCCCTGCACATAAAATAAAATAGCATGATGTAATCGTTCCATATCTTCACTATTCAAGGTGTCACAATGACGCATCAACCTCTCCTCTATGCTTATTTGAACCTCCATGTTTTGAGTTTTGTCAGAATTTGCATGTCAGATTTCCTTGTACTTCTTGCCATACGACAATTTGTTGGAACATTAGCTGGAAAAGTGGATGTGATGGGAAATCACACATCTAAAAGTAAGAGCCAGACAAATTTTTGTAATGGCCATGATAGAAGTTGTGGATAAGAATGCTCTCAAAGCAAGGGAATAGGGTCCATGCCCAGACTGAAGTCTGCAGAAATAGCTATAATTGTCCAAACTATCCATGGTAAGGTGTAATCTCCAGGGATCAAAGCATTACCTATTATTTATTTATTTTTTCAAACATATTATTTTTTGCTTTATAAATAATACCATTCAAAATTTCCACCTCCTCCCCTCCTCCCATTTCCCTCCTGCTCCCCCACTAACCCTCCCCCTGCAGTCCTA